TGAGAGTCTGTGGTAACTTAGGTCTCAGTGTCTTAGTATCTGCGTGTTTTTGTGGCTCTGTCCGTTTGTGTGCTGCCATTGCCACAAAAACTTTTTGCCACCGCTCCTGCCCAGTTCCAACCGTCTTAGCCCTTACATCGCTATCCTGGTGCCACCATGCCGTGCCTTGTGGTTTCAAATTACTTACCATTACCCCTTTGGGTCCGGATGGTGGCAGGCAAGAGAAAAAGGCACTATTTGTTTAGCTTTGGGCAACTCAAGCATTTTCATGTTCTGAGTTCAGTAGAAAACTTTTCTTGCGTGCTTCACTTGGATTTATTATAATTTTAAATCTACAACTGTTTTTCTCGCTATAGAACAGAGCCGGCATCCGTATTCATTTCGAATTAATTTTAATTCAATTCTATATGCAAATGTAACGCATGTTAGCTTGATTATGTGTTAATCTTATTGAATTCCCGTTCACCGCGTGAGGGGACTGTGCAACGTTTTTATGGACCACAACATGTCGTAGGCCCGACTTTATCGAAGCCATTAATTGCAACATAAATTTGTTTTATTTTAACATTTCGCATCGCTGTCTTTATCGAAGTCGCATTTAGCTTATAAGTCGGCGTTTAAAGAGAAACTGCACGGCCAGACGAAGAGACTGGAAATCGAAACTCGTTTTGGAGCCGCCCAGCGCGAGTGAAACACAACAACAACCGCCGCTGCAGCAACAAGAAAAGCAACAACCGTTGACGGCTTTTATTTGAGTCAAACCGCCAATTGAATCATTTTTATTGAGCCCATTCAGAGCATTAAAATACTCGCCCCACATCGAAAATTGTCATCTCGATTGGCCGTTGTTATTTGAATACAACACAGGGATAGGAAAACTGAATTTAACACCAGGCGGAAAAGAAGCTAAAATGTCAGAAGACCCATTAGTTGTTTCACATTTAAAACTTTTGATCATAATGTTGAGGCCAGCATTTGTATATAATTAAGTATACACAAATATTTGAATGTATGAAAATACTAATACATTAGACTTAACATATGCACATATTTTTAATGCATTTATTTAAATTAAGTTCACGTTCAATTAATCAAATTATATATTTATATATATATATATATATATATATATATATATCTATATATATATATATATAGTCTGACGCACTGAATGACTGACTTAAGGATGACCTACGCTCAGCCGAATCAAAAGTTTTAGGATAGCCTGAGCTTCCGAGAAGACGAAAGACATGATACAGGACGACCTCGCCCAACCCAACCCATTTTAAAGCGATCAATAATACGATAATCATAGTTGTTACAAAAACCGAAGATACATTTTCTATTGGCCATGAAGAAATCATTCTACACATGAAAATTAAAGTAAATCGAATAATTCAATATTTAGATTAATATTTTAAATTTATTCAATTTATTTAATGAAAAAAATAGAAAATTTTGGCCTATACTTTGTCAAAATTCATATTTTGTGCATGAAATGTAATGAATGCGGTTATCGCTGAGTTCAGTGTATTAAGGGTTGTGTTGAACGGGGCGTACTGCATTTAAATGTTGTCATGAAATGTGCAGCGCATAGAAGGATGCATCTCCAACCCCATAAAGAATATATTTTCGGTCAGTATCAACAGCCATTTTGATCAAGCTGTGCCTCTGTCTGTGTCTATGCAAACTCTCTAACTTTTGAGGTTATCGTCATTAAACTTTGCGTAGGCCGGTTTTTTTTCAGGAGGTAAACAATTGAGGACCGAGCGGATAGGACTGCAGGAACGATTCATTAAAAACTAGATTCTTGATAGGAACAAAGAGGGCACATCTCACAGAGTACATGTGTGTTTAGCTGTTTACAATTTCGTTTGTAATGTATTGATAATTAATAGAATGCTTGGAATTGTTTACAATTTCGTTTGTAATGTATTGATAATTAATAGAATGCTTGGGGAATATTTTATTTTACTGCCAAAGCCAAAATAAACGCGGACAAAGTCACGGCGGACAACAATTCTGGCAACTGCAAGTCTATTTTACATAGATATTGTTATGAGTTTAAAATCCATCCAATTTAGAAGCAAAAGTTAGAATCAACGTTTTAAATCCATTTTATTCATCCCGGGTGATGCTTGTGCCCAAAAAAAATCCCTTAGCCATGACGCAAGAATTAGGGTCATCGGTCCAGATCTCGTAATAAATGCAACCCTTTGAAAGAGGGCAAGGTCGGTTCCCGGAAATTGTATCGTCTCCACTGTTGAATGTGACCGAACATAGTACCGTATTCAACTTACCGTTTCTCCACAAGCTGAGCGAATTGAATCTGAGGTTAATACCGGATATCAAGGACAAGGTGTCAACGCACGCCAAGTCAGTACTTGCCTTATACTCGAAGCAAGCTGTCTGCACTATCATCGGAGCCCTTTCTTCCTCAGGAAGTACATAAGGAAAAGCCAAAAGGCACGCAAGCTAACCCAGATGGTGACAAAGTTGTGCATGCCCGAGGATGATTCCATTATTCAATTTGACATGTACTTCAGAGAATTTGTTGATAAAACTGCATCGTCAAAACTCTACTCAGCGTTATCAAGTGCGAAAGCCGCGATGGTCCACTGGAATAAAAGCCTTTATTTCAGTCCAACCAGTGAAGGAGTTTCCAGCTCCAATGCATAACTATTTCAATTGTTTTTATTGACTGTTAACCCTGTCGGCACATTCAGATATGTGTTTATACATACATAGATGTACAATAGATACACCAAAAAGAAAGCAATGAAAACCAGTTTTGTATAAAAAAGTCTCACAACTCGGTTTGTTTTGCTAATTATATTTATCATAATTCTTGTCCCTGACCGCAATTAATGGTAATTTGGAGACGAGTACTAAATTAAATAAATTTACTGTGCAAAAAATTAAATTAAGTAGCAACTTAATAAAACTCGCAATTTTGAGTTGTGCAGCTGCTTAATAAAGTAAAACAATACAAATATGTACATAAATAAAATTTTATTTTGCATATTAATTAGATTTTGTGTGCATATTTCTTGGAGAGAAGGCAAAGTTTGAACATTTTTATCAATATTTTTTTTCAATTTCTTAATTTAACATTTTTTAATATTCAAACAAATTCATTTTTAATTTGTTTTATTGTGCGATGGAATCTATCAGTACCTTCTGATCTATCCCAAGCGAAAACTTGTGCAGCTGAAGGAGCGTGTGCCTCGTCCATGACTGGCAACACTCTACGAAAAAATACTCTGTCCCGAATTTATTGTTAGCAAACTGATGGGACGCTATGACGCGACATTATCTTCGGTTTTGCTAGGCTTGATATCATAGCTACTTGCGCTCTTTTTCATTGCACTGGAAAGTGCCCAAGCTCGAGGCATCTGTTGAAGAGCTTAGTAATAAGTTCGATGCAAACTGGTGGGAGTAGTTTTAACGCAATTACGTTGAACGGGTTTCAGTTCCTCCAGGAAGCAGTCAAAGGCACTCCTCATAACATACCTAACATGCATTCCAACTAAATTCCAAGCTCCGCCATCATTTGAACTTACGCAAGATTTACTTTTGAGTTTTATGTTCGATCGTTATGAAAATAGTTGTTCGGAGTATAAATAACTCGCCAATGTTATAAGATTATAAATTGTTCGCATATTTTTATACCATTGTTATTATTTGTTAAAGGTAACAAAGCTTAAGTCCCTTTCGCCAGGGTATAAAAGTTACATACAGCTTATTTTTTCCTAGCTATATATGTAATTTTTTTATTTAAACATGTTCTATTTTTCGCTGGAATCGATCAGTGCATCCTGATCTCTACCAAACGAATAACTGGGGGAAGAAGGTATAGTTACAAGTAAGTAACTTATATGATATTTACAATGATGGTATTTATAATGAAGGGGAAGGGGGTATTCCAATAATTCGTAAATAGGTTACCGGGGTGTAGCCTTTGGAGGCGCCTCGGCTGCTAAAGCCGTTTATCTGATCTCCGACCTTTGTGACGTACGATGGCAGGCCGGCAACCTTGCATGGTGCCTTGGCTTAGACTACTCTTATGCGATGCAGCTGGTGTGATGACGCCGTGCCCCAGACTAGGATAGCGTACGTCCAGATGGGCGTTATCATCGTTTTAATAAGCAGCGCGCTCGGAGAAATATGCCACTAGCTTTGCGAATTAAAATAAAATTAAACATATGAGTATGTAAAATATTCGGATGAAGAGAATATACATGAACCCGGCTCTTGGATTGTGCTTTCACTAAACGCGTTATAGGTTTTTAACGAAGATTGTAGTAACTTCGTTAAGTGTGAAATATGGTTCTAGTTTCAGGTGATGAAAATTCAAGATGAAAATATGCAATAGATGGCGCTGTGGGTAACTGTTTGGTTTAGTTCCCGTAAAAAAGTCCACAAAAATCAAATTTAACTAACTTTATAAAAATTTGCTTAATAAATTAATTACCGATGGCGGAATGCATTTAAATTGTCTAACAAATAAAATATTTAAGAATTGGGAATAATAATGCCAACAGTTCCTAAGTGCAGCGAATATCGATAAGACTTATCGTAATATAACAGTTAAAAATTAAGACTAAATATTGCAAGGAAAAATATAAATAATAGCGGTAAATGGTTAGTTAGGGCTAGATGTCTAAGTAAGTAAGAGTTCTCTAAATTATTGTATTTTTGCATTATAATGCAAAATAAATAACTAACAATGTCAAATCGTGCTAACAGTGCCAAAATGAGTCCAGTATCGATAAGACTAAGACTAACATCGTTTTGCAGGCCATCTACAAATGAAAATGAAATTCAAAAGAATGCATTCAAAAAAAAAATGACAATAAAATTTGATTGGTACACCGTGTCATGCGTAAGCAAAAATAAATATATTGAGTGACATGATGTGACCAACATAATGTAAACTAAAATTAATCTGATTTTTTATTTTTCGATCCGTTAGCATTCAAATCCAGAAAAAATTAAAATCGATTATAATCTAATTTTATTCGTCGAACAATTTTTATTCCTAATACTTTACATAGGCAATATAACTACTTCTCGCCGCCTGAAATCGGTTTCTCATGCAAAACTATATAGGGTTAGCCAAAAAACCCGATTCGGCTGTTGATACTGATCAAGAATATATACACTTTATGGGGTCGGAGATGTCTCCTTCTATGCGTTGCACTTTTCACAAAAAAGTTATAATACCCTCTGCAAGGATATACAATTTATTTGGAACTCCTTTCTGGAACGGAGAAGCATAAGTTATCCAGCCGGATTATGGTTCTTGTTATAATAGTAAGATGAAAACAGGCTCTCCAATGGAGGTTGGGGTAAAATCTCTCGATTTACCGTCGTTTTTAATGTAATAGGTGATCAAACATAAAACGCAAAAGAACAGGTGGGTTGACTAGGAACAAATTTCTGGCATGGCAAAATACTTACAGTGCTGAAGAGTGTATGCAATGGTACATAATATTTTGTGATGTGAATATAACTAACATTTCATGTATTTTGTATGCCTACATATAGAAAATACATTTCTATTCTAGTAGAGGCCTACTTGCTTCCATGTTGTGTATTATGAATTCGTAAATTCGCCACCCGCTTTTAAAAAATAGAAAAAAAAAGGTTTTTCATTTAAATTTATATAATGCGTAGTGTACTTCATTCTTCTGATAACTTAACTGAGTTTATGATGGTCTGTCTGTTTTGGTTTTACAAGATCTCTTCAATATAATCATCTTTTTTTGCGTAAACAACCACGTTGCATTAATAAGTAACAGATCAGATGATTAGTTATGCTACATATGATTGCATTTAACAGTAAGGATCGATTGAATACTATCGAAATATAATTTTTGACATACCCAATTGAGTGTATGCAGAGACTTTAACAGTGGCAGACAATACATTTTGTATAGCTTAGCTACTGTATATATATTCATATACATTAACATGAAGTATCCATAACATAGCGTTAACAGTTTTGTAGCAACAATATATCGATGACAGTAAGAAGAGTTCAACAGCGCAATAACAGTTCTAACCGAGCACTAAAGTGTAGAGCCGACTATGCATAAATTTACCCTCCGATATGTAAAGCAATTAAAACATCGATAATTTACTCCCTTTCATTCTTTTTCGATTGAACGGTCTGTGCGGATGCATTTTTTCCCGGTTTGCTTATGTTAAATTAAAAACGAATTTAAAAATACAATTCAACTTTCTTGCGTTTTTGCGAAATTAAATATAAAAAGAAAAAAAGAACGTTTTATAAGTCAAGATCCAAAGTATAAAACAATAGAAATGATCGCCAACTTTGAAATTTCCGAGAACAAACCTGGCAGCAAGTACGTATTTTCCATATTTTTCTGAAGTGGTGCATTGTGCGTATGTATTTACATACATACATACATACATACATACATACAAGAACCTTAAGCGAAGTCCTACTGACTGCGTGCATGCATTTATTTTTGTATGTATTCATATTGCTATATTGGGATATTTATGTGTATTTGTGTCTCTTAAGTTATATGCGATCTAATTTTGATCGATAGCGGCTTAAATATATGCAAGTTGTATGTATGTATGCAATATCTGTTTGCATCTGGTGCTATACATATGTATGTATATATGTCTGTTTTGTATTTACATGCATATATGTAGATAAATATATATGCGTGTATGTATGTATGGGCGTATGTTCTGTGTGCAGATTGGAAACGAGTCTAGCGATCGTAATATTTCCATTTAAACAAAGAAGCTTGCTCTTTCTGTTGGTTTTTTGTCTTAATCTTTGGTATATACATACGGACATTTTTTTTTTCACTTCACATTGGCAACCACTCATTTTTTTGTTTACGCTGAAAACCAAAGCAGGAAAGTATACACCCTTGGCAACCGATATCCCACTCATACACATGTTTGTACATCTGTCGCGTCCGGCTAGTATTCGACCCCTCCCTGATATATTTATTTTTCAGAAAAGTGAGCCTTAGGTTGGCAAAGATTAAATATTCTCTCAGACATATGGAAGATGTATGATGTCATTTTCTGGGCTTATCTATATAAAAAGGGTTTTCATAGAACTTTCACCGATCATTATTGGGTACTGTTAAGCTTAGTTTGTCTACAGAAGGAAAATTTAATTAGAGTAAGCGACATGGACATGGGCAGCAACCCTCACAAATTCTCGGGTAACTACCCGGCAAGTACCTTGTCCAATCTACTACCACATTACCAGCGCTAATTTTCTGTTTATTCTATAGCTGTATGTAAAGCTAAAAGTGCATGTGTTATGCTGATTTTATACTTAGTGGGCGTGTATCTATCACATACGTATTTACTTGGCTTGTTTAAGTATTAGTGGTAAGAGAAGTCACGCGACTTTATAGTTAGACCTAGCCGGCCGCCAATGTGCAACCAGCAGGAAAGTGCATTGAACTTTACTTATGTCTAAAGTTCAGGCTAGGCCTTGCGTGCTGTTGTTGCTTTGCCGTCTAACAACTGTATATTTTTATTGCCTTGCCTTACTCCTTAATTGAGATTCTTGAACAAAGCGACGGAGACAGAGAGAGAGAGAGAGAGAGTAAGAGAAAGAGAAAAAAGAGTATAGGAAAATAAAAGATTAGTAATATCAGACCGTCTAGATTCGTTTCATGCAAGTGCTATTAACAAATAACGAAAATAGTAATTATTTATTTATGTTAGTTATTCTGGGATCGATAGATGGCTTTTGGTGTTGCTCGATTCAATCGAATAATCGGCGAGTGTCGAATTCATCAGGTTATATAACAAAGGTACTCGAATCTGAATTTTACTTATTCGAATTATTTGTGTTTAGGACAAGTTATATAAAGACACAAGCAAAGGGTATTCAAATTTCGCCTTAAAAGTTGTATTCATAAACATTTTAGTGACGATCCCTAATTGCCAAATTAGTATAAAGATATGTTGTATTAATGAATTGAATCGCAATCTCAATTAAGTCCTTACTTGGTGTTAGTTCCACTGCGTTAATTTATTTATTGATGTTTGTTTAAAAGTACATACGCTTGGTTGAGCATGTCTTCCACACAGATGCGTTTTGGAGGTCGTGGGACATCCGCCTTACTATATGAATTAAGGCAATTACTTTGGAATATCTATAAAAATTACTGCGCCTAATTGCTGCAACCATATGAGCATTCATTAATTTATATTAATTCGAAATATACGACTATTATATCCATATCTTATACCTATTCAGGCTGTGTTTAACATATTGATTGAGACATATCCGCCCCATATGTATTTCTCTCGTATATGAAAACTTTTTATTTTAAAAGATATGGTAGCCAAACTCAACTATTTTGAGTATATTATTTAAAATATATCTGCAATGAGAATTATCCGTCGCATTTAAGACTTCAGTCGTCTTTACAAACTACACATTTAGTGATAAAATAATAATACTATAAATAAGTATAACAAGAGGGCTATAGTCGAAAATACTCGAATAGGAGATACGATGAACTCAGCGTAACGCTGCTGCTACAAACATTCTATGTTCAATATATACATGAATGCACACAAACACATACACACATACAACACTGTACTCCTTGCCTTAGCCGCACGATATGTAATTAAATTATCTGCTTATTTTACTATCATTATGAACACTATGGCCAGATCGGCTCGGCTATTGATGCTGACCAAGAATAGATACATATAATTTACCAGGTCCTCATATATAGAGGTCCGATGTCAACAGAATTTTTCTTATATGTTAAGAGTGTACTGAGGTCCGTAATTAGTCAGTAAGGTTAAGATATCTTGATAACCTTTAAGTTTTGTATTCAAAAATTGTTTCGACAGTTTACTAACGATTGTGTCTGGGGCACCTGTGTACTATATGTACTATCTGCCAAAAATATGCTTTGTCAATATATTTAGCTTAAAACAGAGACTTGGTACACATTTTATGTTTTGTGAAATAGATTTTGCAAAGATACAAATACACTAGGAAATACCCTGTACTTAGTGCCGCGTACATTGTTCCTTTGCACAACGGCTGTGCTTATGTGTGTTTGTTTCTATTTTGTTATGACGACTTCCAAATTAACTGATGTTTGGAATCCTACAAAGTTATTTTTACTTGTAAGAAGATGCCTATCTAACGTGTTTATCGTGGTTTGACTGAGGTAGTCATTTCATGCATTGTGTTTATATTTTTATGTGTGCCTAATTTGAAACGTGCTGGCAAAACTCTTAACCAAAATGGATATACTTTTCTTTTCTGGGAAAGAAAAAGATTGTTTGAAAGGTTTAAGAGGTGCGCAAAAATGATTAGTGCTTCATTATACTTAACAACAGTTTTTCGGGCTATGCTGCATTAAACGCGCAAAGAGTGTAACAAATTCTATTCAATATTTGCACACCTCGCAACTTGAATTGCCTTTCACTTTCAGTTAATAAACAAAAAATGTTGGGTTGCGACGCAGAATTAAATTGTGCGGTATATTTACTCTAGAGTCTAGACCCCATTTCCCATTTTTTTTTTTTGTTGTGGTTGCTTAAACAAATTGTCAACTAGAATTTAAGTGATACAGAAAAACATTAAATTATTCACTTGCCGAAAGAAAAGATCAACGTTTAAAGACAATAAAAATTAGAAAGTTGTAAGAGTTTGCCCGTGGAGAGTGGACGACTACAATATTTCCTTTAACCAGAACCAGTGCAGGCAATGGGAGCAGCGATTCTTTCCCCTTTCCCGCACTTAATATTTTATATAACAACTTCTTCCTTAGTGTAGGATTTTAATTTATCTGGCAAAAATAGGATATATGGAATATACATACGCATACTAGTAATTTTAATTGCTACAAGAGGCCGCTCTGGCTATAATATTTAATAGAAAATTATTTTTTATCATGTCAAGCTGTCGAAAATTGTTTTTTCAGTTTATATATACGATTCGGAGTAACCCTTATAGGGTAACACTGCAAACTTTTGGAATTATAAAATGGGCTGCCTTGACAAACTGTATGCCCATATATTTCAAAGTAATAAATAATCAATTGATCATCTATTTCAAAAGCGGTCAATTGTTTAATTTAAGTTTCATTAAAATCTTAAACACCCATTTCCAATTTATTTTTCAACAATAATAGTAACTTTTTAATGAACTTAATTGAAATGTTATGTGTTTAGCCAAAACTTTGCCCTTGCTTTAATTCTAGCGTAGTTGTTATTTACAACTATTGCATTATTTTCGATGAATATATGGGCAAGCTTGTGTTTTAATAGGCTTTAAAAAGATATCTTAGACCTTTCGCCCATCGGCACTCGGCACACAAAGTGAAATGTCTGCCGTCTGTTCGCAAGTTGTTCATCAATTTGGCCAGTAGACTTCTAATGACCTTTAAATATCGAGCCAAAAATATTGCGGCCATAAATTGCAAAAATCGTTATTTCCTAGTAACATTTTATTATTAAGCTGCTTAGAGTATTTGCTGTCGGCTAATCCCGAACGGTACGTTCTTATTTATGTTCAGCACTCGTCAAATTATGATTAAAAGTTTTAATACACTATAAAACCCTTTGGTTATTTATTTCGCACACGGGTGTACCAATACAGTATGTTGTGTATCTTTTACTCGCGTACTTTCAAAAAAGGAAATGGGCAAAATTATTAGTCAGTGACTGTCAGTTAGTTAGTCAGTTAGAAACCTTTGGCAAGCCTAGTTTTTTAGTTAAAATTTGGGTTTGCAAACACGGGTAATTACCCATTTAATCTTTGGCCTTAAGCGGTTGG